TTTATCGTAGAATTTGTTCGGTCTCTCTATGCAACTTGCTTGTACATCTGCATCGCAGGAGAGCTTCATTGGTTCTAGAACAGGAATAGTCTTTGATGGTACTTTGGGAACCAAAAGATTACTTCTACTTATATCCAATTCCATCGAGAATTCTTCGTCGTCTGGAATGCAGTCGGCAATTCTGGTACCGTTGCACACAGCGGCAGCTGCGTTAGTTGTGGTGATGCTAAAACATTCGGCTTTCTGCACATTTTGGCTAAGGTATGCGAGAAAGAGGGCTAATGCCAAATAAAGAAATTTTTGCTTCACATGATGCTATAGAAAGAAATGCTTTTTCCGTCATCAAAGATCTACTAAAAACAGATGGGATTCCCGGTTTATATAGAGGTTTCGGCACAGTCGTTACTGGAGCAATACCTGCTAGAATTATATTTCTCACTGCGTTAGAGACTACAAAAGTGGCTTCTTTCAAGATGATGGAACCATTCAAATTATCAGAGCCTACACAGGCAGCTATAGCAAATGGAATGGCTGGGATGTTAGGATTTCTTTGTTCACAAGCCGTGTTTGTTCCAATTGATGTGGTATGTCAGATCTGCATGTAATTTCAGCTGTTTTTTTTTTTTTGTCCATCCTTTTGTTGTTCATTGAGGGGGTAATTTTGTAAGTGTAAGCATAACCATGAATTGGTTCAAGTTCAACTAAATTTGAATTAGTATAGTCGAAATGCAAATAAATTACCTGATTGGTAGAGATTCTTTAAACTCATTTTTCTCCAAACTCATTTTCAATCACACATTTTTTCAATAAAATAATTTTACACTTGGACACAAAACTTTTTCATACTTTTTAACCACCATTCTTCAAAAATATCACTTTTTAGAAAAATAAATAAAGTCAAAGTACCACGTCAAAAGGTAAAAGTATGTGTTCAATATGTACAGCGACTTTATTTATTTTTCTTCCAAACTGTTATAGAATGCATGAGCTGGAATATAAGAACATTTGACATTTTATATAATGATTCTATTGAGGCATTGTATCTCTCATGCCATCTTAAAAGATTTCTGTTTTGGCTTACTGTTTCTTGCTACTTTTGTCGACCATTTAAAAGTTCAAAGTCCATTTAGTTGATCTTCTTTAACAGATTAGTCAAAGGTTGATGATGCAAGGATATTCAGGCCACGCTACTTCTAATGGCGGCCTGGATGTTGCTCGTAAGATTTTAAAATCTGATGGAATTCGGGGATTTTATAGAGGATTTGGTCTATCTGTTATGACTTATTCCCCATCAAGTGCTGTATGGTGGGCCAGTTATGGCTCAAGCCAGCGCTTAATTTGGAGGTATACTATTTTGACCATCTGTTGGATAGTCTCGAGTCAGCCTCTTTCTTTTGTGGTTTTCTTTATGCCTCCTAGTTAATGCTTTATTTCTATAATAATCTTAGAGAATAATTACTCCTTATCTCTAAACAAATCTATACTGTACAAAGTTTGAGGTTATGCTATTAATTTTCTGTGTTTTATTATCTTTCTTATTTCACACTCACGTGCATAACCTATTGTCAAGACTGGGCTATCATACAAAAACCTAATTAGATATTCATAACCTGCATTTTGAGAACATTGGATTAATAAACACGAATCTTTTGATAACGAGGAATAAATGGATCTCATGGTTTATAGGACAATGTTTTATTGTGCAAAATCTGTTTTCTGTGGGTTTCTGTTTTCCTCTTTCAAGCTGGGTTATTCATTCTTGTGATTTAATTCTCATCTCCGATGTTTCTGGCAGCCTCTTACATTATGGCACTGAGCATGATGGACCTGCTCCAACTCAAGGGACCATTATGTTGGTTCAAGCTGGTGGAGGGATTTTTGCTGGTGCTACAGCATCCTGCATCACAACCCCATTGGATACTATCAAGACTCGTTTACAGGTTTGCTTGCTTTTGTAAATTACTGCTATGGTGCAATTAGAACTATGAGAGCGCAGCAGGGGCCCTTAGATTCTTGTCAGTCTGAAACTATATAAATTTATTGGAAAAAAGTTCCATAAATTATAACTAAATCAACGTATTTTGTACAACCATTAGATAGTGACAGGCATCTCTGCGAAGCAAGTTGAAATTCAAAATAGAAAAGAAGAGCAAGCTTCAGTTTCTTATGTTTCCTTTTGTATTCTTTATTTATTTAGCTTCTCTTTCTGTTCCAGCTTCTATTCGATCACGTCATTATGGCAGCTTAGTTCACATTATAGCTTTCCTCCCCATCTTTAAGATGAATAATGGCTAGCCACCTGGGAGAGCATTCCGGGACTGGGGAAGAGAAGACATGCGGATTATAGAGGTAGAAGGAAATAACAAAACTGTGATTTTATATAATATATAATTCAAGCGTGCCTTGGAGACACGGTGAAACCTGTCACTGGGTTTGAAATCAGGAACTATTACCACACCATCGATCAACACAGCCCATCAAGCCTAATTCTCACTGGGGAGTGGGGGCTCTTCTCCTTCCCCTTTAGAGATGCTCTATATGCTCTCCCTTCATCAGTGCCTT